TCTGTAAAAGAAACTTGTAAATCTTCATTTCTTGTGAAGATATCTCCATTTTTTTTTTTTTTTTTTTTTTTTTTTTTTTTATAAGTTTAGTAAGATGAAACATTGCCACAATACTTTTTTCTTCTGTTCTTCAACATTCATAAACCTAGAAGCACAACTTTTAGAATGATTGGTTTGCTAAGATATTAACTAATCTCTTGAATATTCGTTTTTCTCCCCCCCCTTTCCCTGCTACTTTTACTGGCAGTTTCTTGTAATGGTTCTCTTGCATGATCTCTCTCACTCATACACACACATCAGTGATGAATCATAGCAAAGATAAATGCTTGATTTAGCAAACAATTGCTCTGAGAAGGAAACCAGTGATATACAGGCATTCTTTCTGTGAATGCTGCAACCAGTTCTCTAAGGACTAACGCTTTTTCATCTGAAAAATCCAAGTATGCTTTCTCTATCCTGAAAAGAAAGCTTTTACTTTGTTAATTATTGAACATGTTAGCATTACTCTTTTCTAGCCTCCAATGATAAGCAATTCCTTTTGACTAACATCTTAATCATAAATACTGATATATTTTTTGCTAATCTTTACTTGGGGGGGAGGACTTTGATATTTGTAATGCACTGATCCTTTCTTTTGAACAATGATAAAAAATAAAAAGGTAACTTTCAGTTTGTTTCAATCTCATAATTGCCAAATGAATTTTCAAAATATTTGAGTATAAAACATTGAATGTGTCACTTTTAAAAATATTAAGTTTCTAGTTTGTACAATTCATACTAGTGACTATATCTTTTGTAGGCTTCTATTTCACTTAAATAAATGGAATTTAAAATATATAGAAAGTATCTGACTCCTGCCATAATTTCTTTACAAGAGTCTGATTAAAGCAAAAATGGAGTGATTCTGCCATATCTGGGTTAAAGCTCTCCAATCTTCACTTTGCAGCCTTGATAGTTCAAAATCTTGTGTAGTCTTGTAAGGGATAACTTATTTTCCATTTTACAGCCTCTTCCCCACAGACACCATATCAAAACCCTATTGCTACTCTTTTCATGGCAAATGTTCAGATAAGACCCATTCATTGTTCCACCAATTCAACTGTTACAACTATGGCTTTCTATCCTACACCCAGAGAGATGAATAGTCTACGTTTCTTCTGTATTCCATTTGTAAGGGAGGAAAATTCTACTTGCAGCTTTTTACCAAGAACTACTAATTTATGGAACCAATTGCTGTGTGGATGCTTCCCTGGACACCACAATTTTAATCTATTCAAGTCAAAGGTCACTCAGTATCTATCCTCATTGTCCTCAATATTCACTTCCTTCTACCTCCTCTTACATTCAGCAAGTTTCTCAGGAGTGACTCTTGAGCCTTGTATTGGATGAACTACAAAAATACATGACTGAGTATTGTTCTTTGACATCTCTCAAAATTCTTAGTGTTTAAAACATGTATAAGGGGATCCCCACCACACACTAGTGATGTTCTTGCATGTTTATTCTTATTTCTACAGTCTGGTTCATTTAAACATATCCTACCTCGGATACATAGCTGTTTTTATATCCCCAAAACAATTTACCTAGATGAAGAAATAGACATTGCAAAATCTTTTTAAACTCCTTTACTATCCTCATTTCATTCTCAAAGAGCATAAAATCTGACTTAAAAAAAACACAAGATAAAAGTACTGCTGACACCAAAAATACTAAATTCATCATTTCTACCCACTGTCAATCAACCAAACCTCTGACTATCCCTGATACTAAAATTATAATCACTACCTCCAAAATTTGGTTAACAAAAAGCACAGAATAAACACTACATCAGAATCTGGAATATATACGACTAAATGGCTATAATGCCATAAATAATATATAGGACAACCTTCCTGGAATTTAAAAGCCTACATCTGTGAATTCAAGAAATCTCTATTGTGATAACCCACTAAATTCCTTAGTAACACAAAAATAAGACCGGCTATAACTTTCTCTTTTAAATGCCACCCTAATAAAACACTTTGTTACAAAGAAAATATCAGCATTTTCTTAAGAGAGGGAGGAAATAAAAAGCTAATAAACTTACAATAAAAGTAACAAATCACGTCAAATTTATAAAGGTTTTCTTATTTAATCATTGGAGATATGTCTCGCTCACACTTCTGGCAGTAAATGTTTTGGGGATATAAAAACAGCTATGTATCCGAGGTAAATGTTCTTTTAAGGCAGATACTATTAAAAATGACAGACCTTTTGTGTCCATTGATTTTCATGATCAACTTTATGATGCTCATTCAAAGATGTAATTTTTTTTTTTTTTTTTTTTTTTTTTTTTAAATTCTTTGATGGGATGCCAGACATGACTGCATAGGATGACAATACACCTCTTCCCATTAGAAAAAGCGTTCCACTGCAGATAACTGTATTCTCTGTATTAAAGTAAGGCCAAAGGGCACATAAACAGACAATGCTATAAAAAAAATTCTATGAAGGAAAGAAAGGTGGTCAAACTAACAAAGAGCATACTGGAAGATCTCAATATTTATAAAAATTGGGGTTTGTTTTAAAGACTTAGATTTATTTGGATTTATTTTAAATAACTGCAAAGAAAAAGATAACATTTTTTATGTTGTATTCCTTGAGGTTGGTGGGTGTAAGTAATAAGTATTTCTGTCCATATTTGTCAATTGTGAAATGATATTTGCCTGACATTTGCAAAGGTCTCAGAATGTGAAGTAGATGCATCAGATAAAAATCTGATGCAATTGGAAACTCTATTTTCTAGTAGAATTAATATATTAGTTGTTGATATTTATTTGAAGAAAATCTGAAATTTTCCATCAACATAAAATACTCAAATAGCTCGGTTCACAAAATTAGCTTAAGTCATCTCTGCAACATAAAATCTCTGAATTCTTTAACAATAATAATACACACACGCACACACATTCAGTAAATGTTATAATCAAGGTCTATAAGTATAACTTTGATTAAATTACTTACAGGTTGGCCTAAATAACACCTTTTTAATGAGTAGAAATTTATACTTCTACTCTTACTTATTCTGCATATAATAACTTAAAAAATACATTATTTTAAAGTTTCTAGAAGTACAAGATTTGGTTTTAAAGACTTCACTCAGGTCTACAACTTTCCATGAATGAAAGATGAGAAAACCATTTTAACCTTGAAACATTCCTGTCACCTTATAAATGTCTTTTCTAAATTCTTTTATATTATGCTACAGGAGGATGTCTGTTATTCTAAATAGCACAAGATCATTTTCAATGGGGTGGGGGTAATTAAATACTTTGAAAATTAATAAATGTGGATATTTCATAAGAAAAATCTTTTTTTTTTTTTTTTTTTTTTTAATCCTTTCTGTAATATATATATAATCAGAAGAAAACAAAACTTTGGCACAAAATTTAGCACCAGAAAAATATGAGTTTTCATGGCAAATGTTCAGATAAGACCCATTCATTGTTTGATAACACTTACTGTCCAAGAAAGCATTATCAGAATTTTATGTAATTGTTTATACTTCTATATAAATTTCAAGAAAAAAAATTAATTTAACCTTAAGGGTCTCTTCTATATTCTGCATAGGAACAAATTGACAGTTCTAACCACTTGGTCATGTTTTCTTAATGATCAGTATTCACTTTGTCTTATTTTATCTTATAAGACTATAATTAAATTGTTTCTCAAAATTTATGCTTAACTGAAAATATTTACACTTTCTTTTATGATCAGTGGGATCATCTATTATGAAACAAATAGAAAATATAAGCTTACTTAACAAGCAAGCAAATGAAGACTTAGTTCTTAATTACAGTATTGATAATATAATACAGCAAACATCCAGATTCATACATGTAAGATCAAAGCTTAAATGCTTGAACTAATTTGAAAAAATGCTAAGACAGAAAATTCACTACACCTTGTAGTAGGCACTCATTTTAATTTTTGATGAGAACTGAAGTTGTTCTAGCATTGAGTTTAATTATGCAATTTTAAATTCTTGAGCAATTTGAAAGTGAAAATACAAAATCTCTTAAAGTTTCTGCTTGCTCTATAATCTTTTGATGCTCATAAACACTGTTAAAGTTGTGTGTGTGTAATATATACATACATACATACATACATACATACATACACTTTTCTGTGTATTTAGGCAGAAAATGTTTTTTAAGGCAAATACTACTAAAAATGACTGACCTTTTTATGTCCATTAATTTTAATGATTGTTTTTTCCAAGTTATGAATAAACCTTCTCAAAGGAAATTCCATCAGAAACTGTCAAGTTCATTTTAAAAGCATTTCTGGAAATATGGTCCAAGCTTTTGGTTTAAATCATCATCAGAGTAGGTAGAAACAATTGGTGAGTTTAGTGAAATTTTGAAATAGTGTAATAAAGCTTTTATTTTTTTAATTATGTGGTTAACTGTTATATCTCAACCATTGCAGGAGCTCACACACAAGTGTGTGTTATATATTATGCAAGTATTCAGCATTGTTATTTGATTACATCATCCTTTTATTTTTATTCCTTTTTGACTGAAAACAAATCCTGATACAAATGGAAATGATTGTTTGCACTACATAATCTATTTAAAATTAAACCAATTTTTAAATACAGGAGTTTTTTTTTTTTTTTTTTTTTTTTTTTTTAAATGAATATTAAATTGAGATATGCTTAACCGCATAACTTTTAGTAATTGCTTTATTTTCAATTTCTATTAAAATAGAAAACTATGACAAGTTCTTCCATGCTGTTTTGAAAATCATTAATTGCCTAATTTTGTTAGTGTATTCCTTTAGTCAAAAATGTGTGCATTTCATTTAATAACTTCTTTCCTCCACCCAATAAACAAAAAGTAGGTATATTGTGCATTTTTATTTTGTAATCTATATACTAAAATATAATTATTCTACTGGTTATAGCTTGTGTGTTAATTGCCCACTTGTTTATTTTGGGTTATTTTCTTTTTTAATAGTTGATGCTGATGAAATCAAAAGATTGGGCAAAAGGTTCCGAAAATTGGATTTAGACAATTCTGGTTCACTCAGTATTGATGAATTCATGTCCCTTCCTGAACTACAACAGAATCCATTAGTCCAGCGGGTCATTGATATATTTGATACAGATGGTAATGGTGAAGTAGACTTTAAAGGTAAGCATCTAACTCTGCACTAAACTGCCACTTTCCACCATGTCTTTATTTAGAACTAATGATCATTAGTTCTTTTCTGTTACAGTTCTGACTGTATTTGAAATCCTTAAAATTCCTGTCTGTTAAATTTTGTGACTCAGTTGTACTGTACATCTGCAATAAGAACACGTTTTATTACATACACACAAACCTCATAGTAACCTCACATCAGCAAAAACCAGTTTGTTACTGTATTGCAAACATTTCAAAGAGTTAATAGGTTTTATTTTTTATAAATATTTTATTTCACTTAGGATTTTTCCACATAAAATAGTGAAAAGTCATTTTCAGAATTTAGTAAGGTTAAAGAAAAATTTATAAATTGGTTATTATAACTTACTTTGTTTACATCTTTACTGGGCTGTTTGCCTTATTTTATTGAAATCTGATTACAAACTATTCCCTTTTCTAATGACAATGCAGTTTTATAGTTCTACAGTCTGTTTATTTTAGGGCTTTATTATTTTCTCATTGTAAAAACTGCTCTCCATAAAGAACCTAAAATGTTTGAGAAAGGTTAGCTTTTGATTTTCTTGAAAAGCTACAATTTGGCATTAGAAATTAGCATTCACTTTTTTTTTTTTTTTTTTTTTTTTTTTAATAGGTGAAGGTGGGGAGGAAGCTATGCACTTGAAGAATGGATCAGCCAAAATATTATGAAGGAATTGTTTAAACATTTAGAAAACTGTTTCTGTTTTAATACTAATCATGAAATATATCACTCATCAAAGCAATTCATTAAAAAAAAAAATTTTGTGCTTCGTTTTTAGCATATTATCCTAAAACATAATGCTAGCATTCTTACTCAAGTTGATTTATTGCATTTGCTTAACTTAAACCTCGTAACATGGCAATATAAATTTCCTTCAAATTTTATTTAAGATTATCAGTCTTAAGAGTACCAGTAACATTCAGAAAACTGAAATTCTTAAGCACTGCAAAGCTTATCCTAATTTTTTTTTTTTTTTTTTTTTTTCCTTCATCATAATGCATTCATTTGAATCTCTGGTTTTAATTGGTTTCACTTTCTTTCAGAATTTATTGAAGGCGTTTCTCAGTTTAGTGTTAAAGGAGATAAAGAGTCCAAATTGAGATGTAAGTAGTCCATATTTTTAATTACATTTGTCAATGTTGAATTTTTAATTGCTTTTTATGCATAGTAAAATACTTGTAATCTGTTACATTTAGTTTTATCTGTAAAAAAAAAAAAAAAAAAAACTAGCATTTTGATCTTTTATTTCTGAAAAATAAAGAAATCACCAAATTTGCATATAGACTGGCACTTATTTTGGATATTTATAAGATATATTTGGAAAAACTAAAATGTAATGGCCTAAAACTATGCCCCAGTAAAATCTTAGTTTCAAACTAAATAGGATTACCATCTTTAGCTCAAGGATAATGAAAACTTAAGAGTTTAGCACTTGTAAACTGACAAATTTGAACTTTTGAAGATTGTGAACTTGCAGAAAAATTAACCATGTGGCAAATAATTTACAACCTTGTGGGGGATTCAGGAGCTAACAAAATTGATTTTTAGATGAAATTACAGAAGAAATAATGCTTAAACACTTAAATTTTGATGCCAAGAAAGAATAAACAGAAAATTGAACATGATGATAATTGGTGATAAAATTTGATTTCTTACAAAGAATCAAATAAAAATTGTGGCTAAATACAGCAGTTTTCAACAACTCTAAGCCAAATGCTAGGACTAAAAATGAATTTTTCAAATTGCTCAAAACTGGAAAAACCATTACAGTAGAATGCTAATGATACATTAGAAGAAAAATTTTTTTTTTTTTTTTTTTTTTTTTTTTTTTGGCAAGGAAATCGACTGGTAATGTTTGCTGTATGACAATGCCCATTCTTATGTTTTGGATGTGATGCTGCAAATGATCTTGGTGATAATATAGGGAGTTTTTTTTTTTTTTTTTTTTTTTCACATGCAACATATTCTCCAGGCCTGTTGCCTTCAAACAATCGCTTGTTTCACACTCCTTGTTAAGTCAGCATTCTCGCAATATTTATAAAACTCCTCGAATAAATCTAGGGAATCCTTTTATAAAATATATAATTTAGCTGAAATATGGCATAAAATCAATGCTAGGAAAATACTTGATGGCTATGAATAAAATATTTCTGTTACTTTTTTTTTTTTTTTTTTTTGCATCAAACTAATAGTTGCTCATGAACAAGAGGAAAGCACAGGACTTTAGCCCTTTTTAATTATCAAGTGAGCATCTGATAACCAAATAATAAGTAATCTTATTTGATTACTATTTTTGTTTCTATCTTTGAGGTATGTAAATGCATTCAAACTCTGTTAACAAAGCAATTGCCTCAATACAATTGGAAATGTAAAATACATTGTCAGTTCAATATTTCTAGTCTCCTCTCTTTTAATAACAACTATTGTTGTAATTGTTCATTTCTCCCAGATACTAATGTGTATCTTTTACTTTTCTGTTTTGTAGTTGCCTTCAAAATCTATGACATGGATAAGGATGGATATATTTCTAATGGAGAGCTCTTTCAAGTCTTGAAGATGATGGTTGGCAGTAATTTGAAAGACACACAGCTTCAACAAATTGTGGATAAAACAATAATTCATGCGGATGCTGACGGTGATGGCAAAATATCTTTTGAAGAATTTTGTGCTGTTAGTATCTTAAATGTTATGCTTATTCAAAATGCTTTTCCTTCCATTTTTGGTCAGAGTGGTTTGGTGTTATTGATGGAATTATTAAAAAATTCCTAAATTTGATTTTTCTATTTTGATCTTTGAAAAAATTGACTGTTGTCTGTATATTATTTAAGAATGTTGTAAAAGAATTACTTTAGCATTTGTCAATTGAGCTTTATGTAAAAATTTTATTTTTAAAATGTTGTCTTAAATTACTCGATAATTGTGCCTCTCTTGTCTTTTTTTTTTTTTTTTTTTACTTGACCAAAATAAACTATGTACGTTTTTTTTTTAATAAAAACAAAACGGGTGGATTCTATAATTTGCAAATAAAAACAGACTTTATTTTAATAAATATTTTTGGAATGTTTTAGAATTTTTTTTTTTTTCTTTCAAAAACTTAAACAGCAATTAAATATTTTTTAACTAGAAAAATGATAATGGATTATCTATATATATATATATATATATATATATATATATATATCTATCTTTTTCAATGTTTGTGTGTATGAAAAAGAAAAATTTCCAGCCCATCTATAATGCAGATATGATTCAATTCTCACTAACACCCAGTAGGTTTATATACACCAAGTGAAAGACTTTGCTGTTGTGGATTTTTGCAAGGTTAAAGATAGATATATATCCAATTTATCTACTCACTTTTTTGTTTTTTCATCTCAAGTGGTCTGTTCTACATAACTTGTAATCCTAGCTTCTTCTTTTTTTTTTTTTTTTTTTCTTTTCTTTATTTACCCCCCCCCCCAATAAAATTTCTATCTTCTGAGTTTAATGATTCAGCTTAAATTTCATATTATCTTTTTAAAATACTGTAAATACTCAAAATAGTACTCTCTATAACACTTGATACAGCTATTAAATCTGGCAGTCTATTGTAGCTGGTACTGAGCAAAATTTTTGGGAGATTAATATGATGGCATTTTCCCCCTCTTAAATTTACATTTATGGTAGGTACTAGATTCTGTGAGTTTGTAAAGGATATTTGGAAACAAAACTCAATCATGTGCTTGATTGATCTTTTTAAAGATCAATTAAATTTTTTTTTTTTTTTTTTTTTTTTTTTTTTTAAAAATACAAAAAAATGTATTCAGTACTACAAATATAGCACCTTCTACTGATTATATAGATAGAATGAACCAAACTTATGCATTAAAATACCAGAAAGTTTGCACAAAAAGTCTAACAATAGTTGGCAATTCTTTCAGCAGTGGGGAAATACCAAAAGTTTTATTGCTTAGGTAAATTCAAATACATATTAGCAAGGAAGAGGCAAATTTGCTTGTACTTGAAACTTGCATCTCTTCAGGAGCAAATATCAGTTTGGGAACAACTCCAAAATATACAGATTTAAATTTTATAACGCACACAAACACTGTTTGTTGTTGTTTACACCCAATGACTTATCACTAATGTGAATACAAAAAATGTATGGGCATTTCTCCCGTTCAAAGCACTGCATGTTCAAGTAATATTGGTTAGTTTTTTTTCGTTTAAGGATGCTTTCTTAGGGGATAAATATTAACATTCAGATGGAACTTCATTTAGATTTTAGTTTCTTCATTAATGTTTATGCAGTACTTTGAATAAAACCTTAACAAGTAAAAGTAATGCAAATGTTAAAATAAATAACAGTATCTGACACCTGTTACAATTTGATTAAGGCTTGTTATAGTGTCTTTATTAGGATAAATAAAACCAAAGAAAGGTTTTTAACTGAAATCATGGTAAAACACAATAGTAGACTTGAAAAGGAACAAATATTATAATTTTTCAAGACCACCCCTCCCTGCCAAGTCGGTATTCACAGCTTATCTTTTACTGTTAATTTGTTTTTAAAAAAGAATCTCATTTTAAGATAAAAGTTTCTTCATTTCAATGATGACACATGCAAATTTCCTCTGATTCTTTATTCCTGTTTACACTGCAAAAGATCAATACCGATATAGCTACAGGGTATGGCATAAATACTGTTACAAAAGGAAAATCTCATAACTCCTGAAAAATTTATTGTCTGCATTCTATTTTACCACAAAGTATTAATCTGCTAAATAACACCAGAAAATCTCATTCAATATGGTTCCCATTAGCCTTCACCATATGTCAGTCTTTTGGGAAAGTCATTGATGGTGGCATGCACAGTTTCCATGGGTAATTTTGTCCCATACTCTCTTCAATTTTTGCCTTCAGAGCTTCAATATTGTGATGTGGAGTAGAACGGGTCTCTCTCAAGAAGTGCACACAAACAATAGTCAAGAGCATTGATATCTGGTAATGAGGGAGGCCATTTGTCCTTGGTGATGAGGCCAGGACAATTATCTCTGCAACATTGCTGCATTACATGAGCAGTATGGCTCATTGCTCCATCTTGTTGAAGTGTCCAATGTTTATCACCATAAGTGGCATTGCACCACAGCTTGAGTGCACTTTCCAAGATGTCCTCTATGTACACTTCCTTGTTGGTCTTTACCCCTTGAGGTATGAAAACAGGAGACTTCCCTCTTTATGAAATTGCTGCCTAAACCATGACTGATGCTGGATTTCTGGGTTCTGAGGTATTTTCCTGAAGTGACAGGAACTGACTGATAACTTGTTGAAAGAACACAATCATTTTGATGATTAAAAGCCTGTTCAACAGTGAAGATGATTATTTTGCACCATACCATCACAAATCTGTTTCAGCAACTGCTTGCTTCTTTGTGGCTGCTGAAAGACGCTGTGTTTTGGTTATCTTGTAGGGGTGACATCCCTAGATCATTTCAACATAGCCTCTGCATCGTTCTCTCTGATGTTCCAGGATCCTTAACTAATTTTCACATTGACCTTCTTGGATTACATGTGATTTTTTTTTTTTTTCATGCAAATGTCGGTTTTGGCATTTTGGAGGTGCAAGAACATCCTGGTCACAGCCTATCTTTGATAGAGGAAGTCTCATATCAATTGATTGTCATTTTGATAAACAGTCTATTGATTCCAAGTTGTTTTCCAGCTCTAAAAATCTCAGGTGCAGTCGGTCTGTTTTCATGTTTCTCATTTATATAATTTCTTTTAATTTCTATAGACATAGTTGTCAGTAAATACTAAAACACTTTGAAAAAAAACATCATATACATTGTTGGGTGAGTATCAAACCATAAACAACAATGTAATGACCATAAATTTAGAAGTAGAATTCAGTGGAAATTTTGTAATGCCATTTATACTGCACCCTGTATACTATAGATATGTACCAAATTTCATTCATAAAATTCACGTACACTAATTGTGTTGCTTAGGTAAATTTGAATAAAATTTCATGATTCATATATATTGGCATTTCTTCCATGTAAATTTCTCTTGTAGAATTTGCTTAAGTACTCTGAAATATGCATATTTAAACTTTATAATAATAAAAAAAGTAATGTGCATTTCAGCTTTTAGTCATTTGTTGACATAGAAAAGGTATGATTATAGCAATTTACTAAGCATAACTTAGATGTGGCACAAAACCAAAAGTATAGAGCACCCAATGAAGTTTGAATTCACTACTCAGATATGATTGATCTAGTGAGAAAAGATTGCTCTTATACTATATCAAAGTGTTCAAAGGTATCTGTTTATAGGTTTAAAAAGCAAAAACTTAGAGCTAATTAGGAATGCTGAGGCATTTTTAATTATAATATGCAGTGGTTTCCTTTGATTAGGATTGCTTTCTTTGGGATTAAATGCTTGAGAAACTTTATTCTTTTTTTTTTTTTCTTCTTTGACATTATTTTTTATAGAAATATGTATGCAAAAAAAATGAAGTTCAAAGATACAATTACAATTTGATTAGCATTTGTTATTGTGTCTGACTGGGATAAAGATAACCAAAGGTTTTTGACTGAAATTGTTTATGGTAAAATACCTTAATTACAATATTATTTTAACAAGCAAATAATTGGAGTAATACAAAATGTAACTGCCATTTTTTTTAAAACTTCTTTTACCATTATTTGCTTGCCTATAGCTTTACAAAACATTTCATCTTATGAATACTAGGATACATAAAACCATTTCTCTTTGTTTCAATAATGACACCTGCAAGTTATTTCATTCAACATTCTCATGGTAAGGAATTTATCACACATTTTCTTGGTGTCAGTTTAAACTGGCAACTGCCCTCACCATACCTATATTGTAACTGCTATGCTTAAAGTTCATAATTTGTTCATTTCAGATGAAAATTTGGAAATTTTCCAACATATTTCAGTGAAATTTTTATTTTCTCAAAATTAGAGTTTATGTATATAGAAGAGCAGGAGCATATAGTTTAACATTTAAAAACGATGGATTGGAGCAGATATGGTTGATTCAATGTATTTGAATTGATAGTTTGGTTTAAATTGGAGGTTAGTAGCATAAATAACAAGTTTATGACTTTCACTCAATTCTTTGTTGCATTTTCTAGCAAAAAAAATAATAAAATGGCTTCATCACTTGTATTAATTTTTTGTACCTCTTTAAATATGACTGATAAAAATATTTTAATCCAAGATGTTACGAATATGAATTCTAGTATCAGGTTCCACATTACACATTTGCCTTTTAGTAATGACCTCTACTGTATCAATAGAAAAATGAATATTCAAAAATTAAGTTGGTGTGCTACATTTTGATAGTGTGAAAAAAATTCTGTTATCTGCAGTTGCAATACCAAAATTATTATAGTTTAAAATATCACCATTTCTACTCCTCATTTAATACCCTCCTCTGGAACTCAGTTATGAAGGTCACTCTGAAAATAATGACTCCTACTTTAGCCTATGACAACAAAAGTAGATGATAGTAGAGGTTGAACCTTCCAACAAATGACCTATCATTTATTTTGTTTTAGTCTGACATGAAAGTGTTTACAAAGCAGAAGTGCATTGTTGAATTTAGCCTTGTGCAGGGGGTGGGGGGGATTGTGTCCATTTATGCTTGATGAACATTTACAGAGACCAGACAATATGTTACTACAATTCAGTGATAGGTAATATATATAGATATATGTGTGTGTATATAACAAGCTACATTTTGAGCAGCCATGCACAGCTGTCAACCTACAAATGAAGAGCTCTTGTTATTGCTGGCAAAAGTGACTGGAAAAATAGTACTTTGTAGCTAGATAATTATCCATACTCTCTCTAGTTTCAATGGAAATAAATAGGAGGCATTTGAAGTCCTATCATATTTAGAAAAAATAATCTCTCTTCAACTTCATCTACATATCTTCTCTCCTCTTTACTGGAAAATAAAGAAATGAAAAAAACAGAATAGAAAATCCTATCTCTACATAATTAGTCTAATGCCAATTATAAAAAGAAGGAATTATTGATTAAGTTTTATTTATTTTTATATATGAAATTTCATAAAAGAAAATCTTAAATTTTTATTTGAGAAATTTTAAAACTAGTCTAATTCATATAACTTCTCTTTTCAGGTCGTGGGTACAATGGATGTGCACAAGAAGATGGTGGTAGATGTATAGTAAGATGGTGCTGGTTTGCAAACACTTTTAACTCGTACTTTCCATGACATAACTATTTTTTTTTTTTTTTTTTTTTTTAAATGCAGAATTTTTAACCCACCCACTCCACTCCCTCTCCATTCCAAACTTCCAACGCTTCCCTCCTTCTTAACTAGCTTTCTCATTTCCACTGAAAACCATATTGCATTTTTTTGTATATATATATATATATATATATATATATATATATATATATATATATATATATATCTCTCACACACACACACACACGCACACATTTTTTAATTTTTTTTTTAAACATTATCGTAACCTTGGAAAAAGATTCTCCTATGAGAACAAATTCTAGGCTCTTTAAAAATATCGATACATGAAAAATTATAACTTCTACTGTTTATCCCCTTCCCGAAAACCCTGAACAAATCACTGGTTAGATTGGTCAATTCATTTATGTTCAGTCAAAACTTTTTCTAATCTCTTTAAAACTATTATTTATACTCATTATTAAGATTATTAAAAAAAAAAGAGTTGATATAAAAAAAAATTAGTTGTGCGAATAATTACACAAGGGAAGTAATTCATTTAAGGGGAGATAAGTTTTAATGTTAGTGCCCATGACATAGCATTGTTTCTCAGCATAGACTCGAAACAATTCTCAATTTTTTTTCTAATAAACGTTTTCTGTCTCTTACCACCAAGCATTTATCTTCTGCCCCTTAATTATAAGCGACATGTACAATTCCTTAGTTTTAACTATACCTCTTTTGCTGCAATGGTTAGCAAGCTTGCTTCACAGACCATTGCTTCTGATTTTAACCCTCATTGGGTGCTCCATTATTTTGAATTTTCCAGACTAAGCTAGTTTTAATACATATAATATCAAATCAGTTAATTTTTCAACAAGGTTTGGTAATTGTTAGAGTTTGTTTTTATAGCCTCAGGGAGTTTTCATTTTTGGTCACATGATAATCTTATTTTATAAATCAGAACATTTAAATTCTTTATTATCTACATAGAGAGTTCATCCCAAAATTTTGTCTGTAATGCCTAAGGAGTATTTGAACAAAAATTAAAATATTAAAAGCTAAATTCTTACTATTATTTCTTTTCAATTTTGTTTCTACATCACTACAATCTCATTGCTCCTCAAAATATTTTTTTACCTGTTTTTAAATTTCACTAGCTTCATAAACCATAAAATTTTGTTTAAACACTTGAAACAATTTTTTTTTATTCAATTAAAATGAAGGGCGACATATAGTAGGATTTTTATCTGTTTTTATGCCAGACATTTTAATGTCAGACATATTGCTTCTGCATTCTAAGCAAACTGCTCTACTTCTAATCAACCTTTTCTACATTTTTGAGTCAATCATTTTTAACTTTATATTTCATCCCAACTTATATAATAATGTTCATTGAAAATTCATTCTTACACTTAATTTTCTTTTCTTTTTTTTCCTATTCAACACCTTAGAAACTGAACTAAAACAATTAAAAAAAATTAATCTTAATTTCCCAATGCAACTTTTTTATTCATCTGTGATAAAGAGAATAATAGAAATTTTTTTAATAATAAAATATATTACATTATTCTCTTTTGGAATGTACAAAGTTTTCATCATTTTTTATGTCAAGATCTAAAACATATCTTCTGCCTGAAAGTTATCAGAGTAGTCTTTATATTATACATATTACTAAATGTAGTTAAATATTAGTTCTGTATATGTAACCCTTAAATGCAAGTTAGATCTTAGTTGTAGGTTTTCTAAACATAGCAAGCCTAGTTGCAAGTTTTCTATTTTGTTATCATCACTAACCTTTATTTTTCATTCCTTGATCTCCAATATTTGCATTGAAATGCATTTTCTTTCTCTCTAACTTCAAATTTCTTAATATCTTCATTCTAAAAAAAAAAATAAAGACAAGCAACTTGGCAGCTATTTCATTTCATCTTTCTCATCTTTTTCTTTTCAAATTGTTTATGCTGTAGAAGCAATGAAATTAGTTTCTGAATGCTCTTCACTTCTCAGGTACTGGATCTTCCTCTTGCATTATTTTATTTAAAAAATGAACTTTTTTGACTGAACCTAAGAAATATCTTTTTTTCTCCCTCTTTTAATGCTTGCAAGTATTAGTAACACCATCATGTGGTGTAATTAGTCATCATATCAAAAGTTTTCTATCTGTAATTGTGAGAACAGTTTTTCTCGGCAGTCTTTGAAATTAACTTTGTAGCATCTCCATTTTTTTCTTTTCTTTTTACCAATATAAAATGTCACTTGTCATTGACAAATGCTTTTCACACATTCCATCAACAAAATTCTGTGAGAAAAGAAAAAATAATTGAATTTTATGGAAAGAAAAAAACGGTTGGGAAAAGAATAAAATGTATACAGAGTTGGATTCTCTGGAGTTATTCTTGATATCTTTTTATTTTGGAAAAAGAATTATTGCCTGCTTCAGTCAAAAACAAAGACATAATTATCCAAGATAAACTATTATTGCAACTCAAGAAATTTGTTCAGACCAATATCCTCATCTTTTTTTTTTTTTTAATTACACTTTTTGCTGTGTGAACAAGAGATTAGAAACTGACTCTACCTATTTATCTGGTGATAATTTGAGAAACTAATCATCTAAATATTGTGATATTAAGGTGAGTCTATTGATCAATACAAAACCCTGAATTTTTATTTATTTTTTCCCCTAAATGGAAGTTAATTGTAAATATTTACATTGAACAAGTGCTCAGTGCATATTACTAACTTGCATAATATAAAATGAAAAATTTAAATTCTACAACTTTATGGGAACTTGGAAAAAATTATAAATGATAGGATTAGATATGAGTTTTCATAAAAATATTTTTATGGTTTAAATGTGATTTTATTTTGCACTGGTAATTTTAATTGCCTGCTTATTTTTAGAAACTTTAATCATAGGCTATGATTTTCAAATTCTCTATTACAAACAAGGAAGAGAATATTGTAGTACTACTTGATTGAGATATTTCTTTGATTAGAAAACTTGTACAAGTTTATAAGAAAGAATCTAGACCATATCTTTCAGACATGCACATGTATTTAACCTGTACTGGTAAAGTCTGTGATACCCAAATGGTATTATGTCTACTCTACAGATAAAGAACTTTTGATTACACTAGAGCTTTTTTCTTTCCTTTTCAGTCTTGAACTGGCCAGTAAAAGAAAAACAAGAATGTCTTCTTCCCTTCTCTTGCTCTCTAATCTCAGTGACTTGTAACATCACCTGCTCCCCCTCATCCCACCTCACCCCATATTTATCCCTTTTATGAATCTCTGTTGTAGTTTACATTTGACTCTCAGTTCAATAATGTGGATGAAGCTAATATTGTATAAGGAAAAAAAACTTCTTTTTTTTTTCTAGAAACAAAAATGAATTCATGGAAAATACATTTAAGTGACCTCGGCATAAGATCATGAACTTTTATTTTACCACTCAATTGAGTTGGATATATTTTTTTTTTTACCATTTCTTCTTCTCTTCTTCATTCTATCTACTACTACTACTTTTTTTTTTTTTTTTTTAAACCTCTCCCCCACCTCTCACTGAATCTCATCCCAGACACTGTTTCGTGTTTCTTGTTCTGGTAACACAAAACAATCAGCATAAAATCTGTTGCATTGAATTTCCATAACTTTTGAGCTGCTAGAAACCAACTAAGAGATAGAAATGTCCGACACCAGTTTTTCCTTTCTGTTGCCCAGCCTCACTGCGACTCCTCCCTATCCATTTCTCTTTCTCCTGGAGCTGACTATATGCTGGATTCGTTGGCGTCTGAATTTATTTATTCTGAAACAAACACACACACACACGAGTTCATTAATTATATATATAATTTTTGTGAAACAGATTTTGATAGTGTAGGAATTTCTTTTCTCTTTGCCATCACAATTCTCTTATTACAAAAACTTAGCCCCCTCAATTAGTAATGCTTTAGGAAGTGATTTGCAAAATGCCTTGCAGATGATCATAAACTCTTCTCTCCTTATTATTTGGGGATTTTATCATCTCAGCTGTATTGCCGCACTTGTTTTGGATTGTTAGTGTCTTAGAGGATGCATGTCCTGTTAGCTAGAAGTGAGATTACTACTTGGCAGTTGAAAACTGGCATAAGCAAGGGAAACATTACAGGAGTCGGGCAGTTAATTTGTTGGAAATTTCTAGGTAAATATATTTCACACTTTTGGGCTTGAATGATCAGTACTTTAAGCCAAATGTTTAAAAAAAAAAACCTAGTGCAGACAAAAAACATTTTCTGTCTCTTATTGTGTTTCTACATAAGGGGATTTCTACTTAAAAATCTTTTTGCTGTGTGAAAAAACGATTGACCATTGGACTGACTTTCTCAAAGATTGAAGAAAAATTCCTTCCTTATCCAAATTATTTTCCTTATTCTCACTCTATCTATTCTATCTACACTCACATATCCTGCCCCTACCCCCACAATGCATAAAGCACTTAAATTCTACCATTTTCTTTCTTTTCAGCTTTACTTTAAAATGAGTAGTGATTTTGGCAATGGGTTGCCTGGCTGAAATTTGGCCTGGGGCTACTCTTTTTCTTCTCCAGCTTCTAGTGATAGTGTTTAGTGAAGATCTGGCATTCCTCTTTTATCACACTGTATATAAACCCTTTTTTATTATTCCATTTTTTTTAAATCACATGCTACACCTGTTTAATTATCTACATATCTCTCTCTCTCCTTTTGACTTGGCTTTTTTTAGTAAAGATATATTGTCTTTCACTAAATATATTCCTAAAATGATAGGCTTGAGAAGCCACCTAGACCTTGGGCAAGTCTTTCACACCCTTTGACTGATATGGTCAGTACATTACTGTACTTGTAAACCTGCAATACCCAAAGGGTATAAAATATACTTTTTTTTTCTATCCCTCTATATTTGAGTGTTAACTGAAAACCAAAAATTTTTTCAGAAATTTTTGTTCTTTTTATCTGAATGTTCTTGTTAAACAAATACATATACACACATACACACCCACACACACCTTTTTTTTTTTTTACATCCCTCTTTAAATATTTCACTCTTCTTTCTTGAAAAGCTGTAAAGTAAAACCTGTTTTATTGGGGTTCAACTTTTCAGCCTTTGTTGGTTTGTTACTGAATCTTTTTTATGAATTTATATTCAGTTTTTTTCTTTTCCTCTCACTGATCTTGTAAAAAAAATTCAAACCAATATGAAGTAAACCTTGTTTGTGCATCCTGAAAAGAATTCTATTTTTGTGTGTCTTTAAATTCATGCTATTTTTTTTTTTTGAAAGATTGTCATGTTACAATTAAGTTCCTTTTTAGTCCAGTCTTTTCTTTTATTCCTTTTATTCTCCTCTCTCTTTCCCATCAACATTTTATCTTTTTTCTTCTCTTAAAAGGTGTTTGGATGACTGGTCTTAATCAATGACCAGTCATGTAAATGATGTTTTTGATGTGCTATACTGTGAATTATTTAATTTGGTGATTATATATTTGCTTGTTAACCTGCTCACTTTCAAGATTGCCTATAAATTTCTGCCTTGGCTACCTCTATTATCATCTGTAGCCTTTAAAAAAAACAAAAAAACATGAGTCATTTTTAGCTATCTTGTGTTTGAGCATATTAAAAAAATAATCTTTTTCTTGTTATTGTTACACTGACACACACTACTCTATTCTGGAACTTTCTCTTGCACAAAAAAAATTACCCATAAACAAAAAAAATATCCCTTGTGATTGAAAAAATTGTATTTCCATGCACCTTGTTCATATTTTTCTATTCATCTGTTTTTGTTGTTTTTTTTTAATACTGAATTTACAAATCTTTTTCAATTTAAAAAGAAAAGAATATATATATATATATCAGAATATATTAACACTATCTGTTTTTAATTTCATTTGATTTGATTTTTAAAAGTAAATCTTCAATGAAATTAATCATGCAAGTTGGGTAATAATCAAAATAGCTCCATAAATAATTAACTTGAATGACAATAAAATTCAGCTTATCTTTGAAATGGCTCCTGTATTAACTGTACAAGAATAAGTAACTTATTACTTAGTTTCACCTTATCTTCATTGTTTTTGTTTTTTTAAGAAGTATTTTGCATATAAACATATAATGTACACAAAGTCAAAATTAATCTTCCAAAAAGATCTGATACTTTTGGACAGACTAATTTTAAAACACAATGTATGGAATATATAATTAAGCCATAATGTAGAAATATTATCACTATTATTTTTATCTCTTTTATATATAGAGTTTAAAGTTAAAGATAAAAAAGATTTAGACTTTATAACTTTCTCTCTTTCTTTTTCTTGTTTTTATTCACTGAACAGAAAAGTTCAAGAACCTTTTAACTGTACAGTTCAACAGTAGAAGCAGCAGCATAGACTGACCTATTGGTTTGACCAATCCTCCACCAGAATTCATGATCTGGGGAAAATGTCTGCACCTCTTTTTTTTTTACGTTGTCTCCATTGTGTTTTACTTTCAATACCATCCAGTTTAGAAATTAGATAAAAATAATTATTTTTGCTTTGTTTGTAATCATCTTGTTTGATGAATTCATCAGCATATATTTTACGGCATAAACAGCTGAGAAATTTTTTTATCTTCAGATTTTTCTTTTAACAACAATAAATGGGGGCAAAATGTAAAGGCAAAGAGATTAGAAAATGATGGTTGGTTTTGAGACTTGCCACATAATGTGAAACATCTATTCACGTACATTGCAGTAGGTAGATATTTCTCCACATCTGCCCAACTTGCATTCTTGTGAATCCATTATTTTTGACAACCATGGGTTTTATTTACAAAAACTATTCAGTGCAACATGTGCTCTGTCTAATAACTCCTACCCCCTCAGACCCAACCCGTTTATTTCAACCGACAACGAAATCAGCATAAAAAGATGTTAGCTTCAGGAATCTTAACTGTCACAGACACAAATGGTAGACTGCTAGACATTTCCGTCCCTTGAAAAAAAAACATGTTAAAAGTGAAACTTCAATGCTGGTGGTTGTAGAAAAGTAGAACATTGAGTGGTTGATAATAGATTATTAAAAGCAAAGTAAATTTGTAATTTGAAAGAAAAGCAAGTTATTTGATTATAAATTAAGGTTGAAAAAGTTTGTGTACAGACATTTCATGTTCATTCATTGGTCTGTTGTTAAGGGAAAAGAGCAAACATCTCATCTCATAGATAAGGATTCACAACCATTCAGTTGAGCTACTACTAGGTTTAAATTCAGCATTTGATATAATCTAAGTCTTTCTCTTTCCTCTCTTCTAATCACAGGAAAGTAACTTTCTAGGAAACTAGCTATTTAAGAGTATCTCATTAATCTGTCTTTCTTTCTCTCTCTCTCTTACAAACATCTTTTCTCTCTCTCTGTTCATTGTGAAATAGCTTCTACATTTAAACACCTTGATGGAACATTCTGGATATTTTTCTTACAATTTTTTTTCTTAACTCTTTTAATTTTTATTATTCACTTTCACTATTAATAAGTGCAAATCTGGGTACTGAAATCTATCCAGGCACGGTTGTTGGAGCTTAATAATACCTTTAAATATTCAAATCAACTTTATTGCTGTTGATTTTTTCAGTTAGTTATGAACAGTTGTTAATGAAAATTTATTGTAATTTATTCTCAAATTACTCCATTATGCATATTCAAGAGCTCTGATCACTTGATGTGCATATGAACCATTTTAGTTATGTTTAACAAATTTTTTTTTGACTAAAAAAAAAATTTAACTGAACATAATAATATATATATATGGAGGTATATCTATATCTATATATTTCCTGTTGTAAAAAGCAATGCATTTTTCACCTTTCGTAAAAGTGGATTTCTTTTTTTAAATTTTGAAAAAAATTTGTACTTGTATATGTGGATATTTATATAATCATATTGTATGTCTTGTATCTAATAAAGAGTTTAACTGTTGGTGTTTTGTTTTAAGTTTCCTATTTAATTTAGAAGTTTCACCAAACACAGGTTTGTTAAAGTCAACCCAGTTTTATTATTGTTTTTATGCCCCACCATGCTGATATATATATATACTTTTGTGTTAAGAAATTAAATATGCAATGTATGCATACACAATGCAATTGGACAATACATTTCCACCAATAAAATGTGTGTGTGAGTCTATTGATGGCAGTATAAATTAATAAATATCTAATTATAAAAATTTATCAAAATATTTTTCTCTTATATATAACTTGAGTCATTAGTGTGAATACAATCAAATGAAAAGAACAAAATTATCATCAACAGTATAAAGAATACATTGTAAAAAGAAAAGAGACAATGGGAGCAAATTCCACAATCTTTATTCCAAAGTTGATACAAGCTTATTAAATTGGTTCCATACAAATGTAATTCTTGACACTATCGACATAACATAAATTGGAAGGTAACTTAACAGTAAACATTTATGAAAATAAGGTTTTTCTTTGGATTATTCAGAAAGTGAATTATGCAAAGATATTATCAAAAATTCTTTGACCTCACCTTGAGGCTTGACCAGTTATGCTGAGATAACAGAACAAAAAAATAGTAACTTTCAGCAAAGTACCTGGATTGACTTTTCTTTGATTATAAAATTATTTGGCACATGACTCCTCGATCAAATGTAGAAAGTCATCTTTCAAATTAGTTAATTTCTTGTAAGATAACAAAGCTTACCTTTTGACTATTTCTCAATTCCATAAAGATCAAAAGTATTCCAGAAATTCAAAGGATTAATTTGAAAAGCTCAAAATATATTCCTCTTTTCTTTGAGAAAAGATAATTCAAGTCAATTTCATTGTTGTCTTTCTCAAAGTAAATTTAAAACGAAAATGTTAAAACTAATGCTAGAATGTAATTATTTTATACTCCATCAACTCTAAAAATTATAAGTTAATTTGAGTAATAAAAAAGAAGTTTATGCTATTTACAAGTCTTTTTTATTTCCACTCATATCTTTAGTGTTTTATTTTTCTCTGTTGTTGTAAGATTATTTCTGGTTCATATATTGCATGTCTTTTTTTTTGGGGGAGTGGGTGTATATTCCTTTTAAAAAAATTTTGAAACTTATTAATATTGAAAATCAATTTCATTTTTAAAGGTTACTCTTGATTCACTCTCTGAGGTATTCAGATGAAAGCTGTACAGTTTTACCAAAGCAGTACCATATTAAAAAATAACTTCTACTAATGACCATTTCTAGCATAGCCATATAAATATTCATCCAATAAAAACTAAAAGATGTCATTTTTATGAAGCAACTTCTTTTTTTTTTTCTCCAGAAATGAAAAAAAAAGCATCTGAGGAAATAATTTTTAAGATTCATTTATCAGTTTTTTTCCTCTTTTGTGACTAGATGAAATTCAAGTTAAAATTTATTCTGGCAAATTTAATTTTGATAATCAAGTAATTTAAAACATATACTTGTTGAAATCTGTCTAATCAGTCATTTGTTTTTATCTGAGTGTCAGGATTCCAAACATTTAACAACAACAACAACACATCTTTTAAATGAAATATATAAAAAGTTATTTTCCTGAGGAAAAGTAGAAGCAGAACATCAGTTCAAATAACATTTATATATTCTTTTCATAAATACACAATAGCAATAAAATGTTCAATTTTCCTTGCAATAAAGTTTGTTTTATAAATTAATTAAACACTCATAGTGCTGTGTAAGATGTATAGACAGACTTACTTTATGACAGTCAGCCTAATGTTTTTGTGAATTTGTAGACAAAGGCTTAGTAGACAGTTGCTGGTTAATCCCTTTTATTGCGTGTATGTGTAGACAAGGCCTTAACAGCTGCTTGCTGTCTCTCTTCCATTGTGTGTGTGTATGCACATGTAGATCAAACTGGCCTCCCAAATTGGTTTAACAAATATATAAGATTTAATTCCTATACACTTTCTTTAAGTTTTCCATTAGCACCCAAAATGCCATTTTTGTGTAAGATCAATGAAAAGAACAAAATTTGTAGTTTCAGTCATGGACACACCTAGAAACTTACTCAAGTATTTTAACCTGTTCAAGTCTAGAGTTAACCATTATCTTTCCTACATATAAACTGCACCTCTTACAACTCACATAACCTCCTTCAGTAACCCTCTCTCTTGAGTGGCTCTTGGTAAACATTAATAAAATAAATATGGTTCTACAGTGGTATAGCATATTCAGTCACAAAAACGGACACTGTTATGGCTGTTATCATTTTTGCCTAAAAGAGGATATGATCCAAAAGATTCACACTCTTCTCCCTGCATTTTCAGTGCTCAGGATCACACAAACTAGACAGTTGGAGATGGTCATTCAATTGTGAAAAGGAGGCATTATTTCTAGTTCATCCTCTTTTTCTCTCTCTCTCATCCC